GCGACTGAAAACGACCCTGCCTTAGCCGTATGGCAGTCCCCAACTGCCCAGCCACATATCTCTGGGCCACGACGGTGAACGGTGAACGGTAAACGCAGCAGGAAAATTGAGGCGGCCAGTGTGGCGCATAATGACTTCGCGCCGTCGGCTGAAAAGCTACAAGAAAGTAAGACTCACTCTAAGAACTACAGCAACCATGGAAGGAAAAAATAATAACATTAAGTAGATCATAGGCTGATTTTAGGGAAATTTTCAAAAAATAATTACTGTTGTTGATTTCGATGTTGGTTTCTGGACCTCGCCACCCGAAGCAATTAGCTCCTTGTCTAAAATATCTAAATAATTCCAGTTGAACAATGGTCGGATTGGGTGTTTCTCCGTCTCACCAAGATATCACGCGTTGATGAGACACTGCTAGCCTTGAGAAAAGCACAGTCGCGAAACAAATAAAATACACAATAGGCTGCCACCGCTACTTTCTCAGGGTGATAAAATCGTGCAGACTTGCTTCCATCTAATGCTGCAGGAACACGACAAAGATGCCTTACAATACCTCTGCTTCCAAAAAAACAATCCAACGTTTCACGCCACTTCTTCCTTTCTTTCAATAAACACCAATCCATCGTTTGGATAATGACATTCTCAAGCAAGAATCGACCCTTCGAGACCACAACAAGAGCCACAGCTGGCTCCAGAGCGGATGGCGGAAGACAACCATCATGAAAATGGCCCTGGTGTCCACAGCGCTGCTGTTTTTCATCGGCATTTTAGCAGTTTTAGTCTCGAAAACGAACGGTGGCTTCCAATAGTCATGAATAGTTTACACTTGTCCCTCTGCGCAAACGGTACCACAAGCAAGATCGACATCCTATTTCACGTGCTCATCAAAACACCATCTTTTGTTGTACTTGCATCCTCTAGACGAGAAATTGATGCGGCACATGCGCGGTGTAGACGGCTTGATATTAGCATTCCTCCAAGGCAAAACGCCCCTTATCTATCCAGGTTCAAGTTGGCCGCGTGGAAAAGTCTCTTTGTGACTTCAATGCTGGTTCATATACTGTTCAACAGTTCTGTCTTTCGAATAACCTGCCGCATTAGAGATTTTGACTTCACCATCTCTACCGGATCGTTACTTTCCGGCGTTAATTACACCCTCTCTCAAGCATCAGCCTCTTCACCAATGATAGAACGGCATCATCTGAGCAGTATTGTTCAAGCGCTCTGTATCATGTCCCAAATAGGTTGCTCTCAGATCCGACTGGGTTTGCAGTGTTCTGCAGGCCTTCCTAATCCCAGTCACATTTATCATAATCCCCGAGGGGCACAACTCGTCCTCTCCGAAAATGTAAGGAAAAGAAAGGATGAAATTATAAGAACTATAATGATGAACTACTGCGCTCCGCCGTGTTGTGGATCAGGATGGACCCAGAAACCTAGAGAGACTTAGGCACGGTAGTTCAAAGGAAGACTCGAAAGAAAATCTCATAATGATTCCAAGCAGGCCAGATTGGACACCTCCATTGTATCAGAGGGCAGTCCATGGGATATATCCGATAGCATGATACCAACAGCCCAGATATCGACTCTGACGCTTTGCTAGACAACGTCTCTTTGCAGCAACTCGGATGTTGCATAAAGTGGTGTGTAATTCTCCGACTTTGCAGATCGGAAGTTCTCTAATTTGGCGTGGATGGGGTCTCGTGACGAAACCATGATACTTGCTGGCCTGAAGTTTCGGAGAACGATGGCATTTGAATGAATAGTATGGGACTTTCGAAAATCTGTCGGAAAACATATCTTAACTCGGATAGACTGAGTCGATATAACGAATGCTGTGACTCTAGGCTGGGCCCAGAAGCAAACCAGATGGCCATTGTTTCGGGCTCATTGACGAGCACAGACATACGAAAAACGTGATTAACAGTCCGAAATGTTGAAGAGATAACTTAGGTGTCGCATCCTGTAGAGTCTTTTGGCCTCTTTTGGTGTCCAAAAGCTTGATGTGCGTTCATCATTGCGCGAACTTGGCCAATGGACACATGGACTGCTCGCAATACACACTGGCGCTCATAACTGGCGACATCTTGTTTCCAAAGTGATGTCTCTTCAAAATTAGTGATACTACGCTTTCGCTGCGAACTAACTTCAGGTCCAATTGCTGAACATTCGATAGCTGGGGGTAACACTTTGCCGTCAAGTTGGACCAGTGCTTTCCAAAGCCAGGCTGGCTAATGCGACCCGAGCCCGCATTTCAAAGTCGAATTGCCCTATTTGAATTTACTCGAACCTCTTCATTGTCCGAGATGGATCTGATTCTTCAGACGAGTTGGTGTCCGAATGTACGTGCGGTAGTGTAGATACCCCTGTTCTATAGTTTTAAGAAAGGTTCTAGGTGTAGTCCTGTTGACTCCGAAAGAAAGCTGATGCCTGCTGATGCCCCTGCTCTTATCTTGTAAAGTAAGAAGACATCTTATGCGTTAGGTTTAGTGCTAAATAATAATCTTATCGCGGTATCCCTTGGGAAATTATCAGTCGTTACTTATAGGAACGTAACTTGAATTTTGGGGGGGAGCTGGAATTTAGTAGCTTGAGCCGTGGAAGAAGTGCTACTGAATGTGAGGAAAAGGCTGTTCCTCTTTATGGACGAGATAAATACTGTAGTGAGGTCGTGAGGGAAATCATTATGAGAATGCAGGGAAAAAAGATATTTTTTTAGTCTAGTACGTTTATCGGGTTGCTGTCCAGGTATTGCAAGGAGTTTTTCCTCGTTCTATATAGTATGATTCCAAGTCCTCATGCGCCTAGAGAAGCAGATGGGATGTAAGACGGGACGTGAAACAGGATATAAGACGAAATATGAAATGGGATATGAGAGCTTTAATAACAAAGAGAGTATAGAATGGAAGCTGCAACTACTCATTAAAAATATTTTTACACTGCGGCTGCTTCATTATACTACTCAATTAATTACATTCAAGGTTGTGCGCCTCAAAGCCCTTTCTCACCACGACAAATCTTTCCTCGCTCAAGCTTGCCTAGTCACCGGACTGATAACAACGACGACGGCTTATCTTGGGAATATGTCTAGAGCTTTTTCTCATTTTCGCATCCTCTATCGACATCTTGGTTGAACATCTTGGTTGAACCAGGATGGTTCCGCCGCACACATGTCTCAAGACTTTTCCAAGACTGGACACTTATTGAACTGATCTTAAGAACTTTGGATCTTGCTTGTAGTATTAAAAAAGGGCCTCTGGAAGGACATTTTAGAACATGACCAAGACTCCTTCTAACCAACTAAATGACTTTGAAGAAATAAGATACTTATTCAGTGTTCATATTTCCACTTTGAGATAGATACCTGTGATGTCAGAAATACATAAGTATTGTAGGAGAGGAAGGCGTATAGTCGAGTAACCTTAATATTAGGGGAAAAAGTGGATAAGAATTGGAGACCATGTATTTGTAGCCAACCGGGCCTTGAAGGGATAGGAGTTTTTAATCCATCCCTCTAAGTATTTCGGGTTTAGCGAAAAATTTTCTAACCTTAGTCCTCTAATGCCTCTTAAGGCTCCTAGTATTAATCCGGCTATTAGTGGAACCGGGCAGGGGTTGAACCGGCAATTCTTTACATTTTTCCTTGTTCAATCACAGACTTGCGGAGAGACCAGGAACATACATAAGGATACAGACAGTTCTTAAGTAGGCTTGATCAGACATAGTCGGATGGACGAAGACACACAGACACAAACAGTCAGACAGTCACAGCCATATAATTCGAGATTCAGCTTTTCCTAAGAGGCTGTCCAGCAGTAAAGTCAAGAGTCAGGTCCAAGTGAGTTCCCTAGGGGAGGTTGTTTTACCACTGAGTAAGCAAGGCATATCGAACCCAATCTAAGGATTCATATGTGGCGGCTTGTCCTTGGTAGGCCAGATCAGGCCTACTAGAAGCTCCAATCCGCATTTGAGGCTGTTCAAATATTGGTTGTAGATAGTGAGTTACTCCAGCAGACCCGGGACGTGGAGTACACGTTACAGCGTGAGATCGTGGTTTTTGTGTGGTGTGGTTTGATTTCATACATACCTTACAGACCTTTCTCCTGTTCCGTTCCACGAGTTGTTAAAACCATTGCCTGATTATATTAGTGGAGGCATCTTTAATATTATTAGAATCGGTGGCTCTAGCTCTGTGAACATTTATTGATGGATTCCTTTTTGTAAAAACTGAATCTAGTTTCTTCCAAGCAGCTTGGCAGTGCCTCTGATGTCTAGGATTCGCTGGGCAAATTCCTTGAGTTGTTGATGTGTTGACGGTAGCCCTGATGCAGCCTAGATACACACTGAAAATAGCTTCTGGAAGCTAGCGAAAGCTAAGTTTCTTGCCTGTGAACCCTTCAGTCGAGACTAGAGGGTTCAAGGTGGAATTCCAGCTTCATGAGCGCCTTTACGGAGACTCTGCCCGCTTGCAACTGCATCGAGGGCTTGATTGACTCCTACTTCCGTATACTGGTCCATTAAGCGTTTAAGAGTAACTGTTCAAAGAATTGTAATATTGGCTTTAAAAGTGGTGAAGATATCAAAGAGTGTTGGAGAGGGTAAATTTCTACACGTGCGATTAATGTGTGTGTACCATAGTAAAATGTGGGATTGTAAAATGTGGGGGTGTATGAGAAGTGCAGCTATCTCATAGGTTACACAATGTATTTATAAATACGCTCTTAGCATTCGAGGCGCATGCTGCGCCGCGTAAGGCAGAAATGCACTTTTCACGTTCCTGGCAGACGATCAATGTGGCACAGCCTATCTGCGATCATTACACAAAAGCCATTTTTAATCCAGATTACCCCTCTTTTCCAGGTCTGGTGCTCAGGGCAAAAATACTATCCTTTTAGCTGACCTTTCCGCCTGTTTTTACTGACCACATTATCATCTGCCGATTCTCGCGCTAGTCAAACTCTATACTCAAGTCAACGTCTCGTTATATAAAACCTCAAATTATGCCTTACGTCTTAGAGAACTCCGATGTCCCTGAAGATTCAAACCTCGATCGGGGAAGGATCGCCGCCGCCCATTCCACGTCGGATGACCATGAGAGCGAGCCAGCCGATAGCCTGATGAGCGAAAGCAGCTCTGATAAGAAGGAACAAACCGCAGCTGTTGACAGTACCATTGGTGTAAGGAGAAGAGACTCTGTCAGTGCGATCCAACAATACCTTGTCGACATTTTCCTCATAGTTCCTTCAATATGTTTCATCACCTACGGAATGATGGCTCTCAAGAATAACGGCCGGCCGATCCACGAGGACCCGGTTCCAGCCTTACGCATGGCCGCGACATATAGCCCTACCATCTTTCCTATCGCATTTGCCGCTGTTGCTGCGAATCTGCTAAAAGCTGCAGCCGGCTGGAAGATGGAGCGAGGCGTTACGGTTCTGAGTCTAGAATACCTCCTCAGCTGCCGCACCGTTTTCAGTGCGGTAACTACCCCTTTATCTTTACGGCGTACCAATCTTCTGGCACCGTTCCTCGTCGCTCTATGGGCTATGTCTCCCCTAGGAGGCCAGGCCGCTCTACGTATCATGGATATGATCCCTTCACAAGCATCAGAGCTATATCCATTTGAGTACCTTGAGTTCATGTCCATCTTTACACATTCGAGTCCTACTAGCTCGGCTGGAAATAGCGTGATGCCCTCGATCCAAGGGACCTTTATCTCAGCGTTATCCAGTCCTGAAGACGTCAAAGCGGGGCCTCGAGATGCGTTCGGGAACGTCAAGATTCCAATGCTTGAACACTATCCACAGACAACAACAATGGATCTCGAAGGCTGGTACCACGTCAGCACGAATGGCTCTGGTACGATTTGGTCAGCGATCATGGGGATTCCTGTTGCTACAAAAGGTGGATTTTCTCAAGGGTACAACTACTCTTTTACCTTAAACACTTCTTACATGGCTGCAGACTGCTCAGTCCGACGCGAACAATCAATGAGCCTCGTAGACTGGTACGACTACAAAAGAACTAAGCGATTCCACAATGGTAGAAATTTACTCATCAGCCCCCCTGGAGTTCGCAACATATTCAGCAACACGTCCATGGCACTGATACTCGAGTCTTACTACAATCTGAATCAAACAGTCGCTAATGCTACGTGTGTACTTACAACGGCGTATGCCGAAGTTGATGTAGCTTGTCAGGAGTCTGTCTGTGGTGCTCGTCGCATTAGACGAATTGAGAAGCCAGAGAATATGACAGTCAGAACGGTATTGGATGGCATTGCACCGGAAGGGTACCGACATCAAGGGATAGCAGGGGTGCTTGACGCATTCATCGGAACATTCATTAATATCACCCAGACGCCGTGGGAGGCCCAGGGTATAGCAATGTACAAACCATTCCCCTCAGCATTGGAGACGTACTTCACCTACCCTAGCGCTCCCTTTTCTGCTCCAAGTATTGGTTCTTGGGATGGAACGGATATTTATCAAGTCGGGAACGCCGTATTCTCGCAAAGGCTTTCCCAGCTTCTCAACACATTCTGGCTTTCCTCGGTAGCATCTCGGAATATCACCGGAGATTTCAATTTTCAGTCGTCTTCAAGTTACGCGAAAGTAATTGTCCAAAATACCACAGGTACAAGAACGCCAAATCAGTTGGTAATGCGGGTCAGCGGGCTTTGGATGTCGATCCTGTTCATCGCCTCAACAGTTATGCTTGCTTCGGGTATTGCGGCTAGCATCTTTGGCTGCCTGAGACGGGGTCCCGACGTACTAGATCGAGCTACATTCTTCTTAAGGGACAATCCACATGTCGACCTGGGCCAACATAATTCAATGGAAGACGGGATAAGTCAACTCAAGAGGACGAAAAGCTTGCGTATTTGCATCGGTGACATCAGGCCTACGGAAGAAACTGGCTATGTTGGATTCGGGAGAGTTGGAAAGGCCATGCCGCTGAGTTTGCAGAAAAAGGAGAGGCGTTATGCGTGATTCCTGAGCTGAACATTCCAGCTGATATATATATATATATATATAGAGAGAGAGAGAGAGAGAGAGAGAGAGAGAGAGAGAGAGAGAGAGAGAGAGAGAGAGAGAGAGAGAGAGAGAGAGAGAGAGAGAGAGAGAGAGAGAGAGAGAGAGAGAGAGAGAGAGAGAGAGAGAGAGAGTGTGTGTGTGTGTAATATTTCATGCCGGTGGCTTCCCGTTTGCCTGAGGCAAAGGGATTAGAGCACGCATGTACCTAAGACGTAATAATAGCAGTGACGATAATAGTAATGACGACGATAACTATCAACGACGACGGCGGCAATAACAAAGACAACGATGGCAATAATAACGATGGCAATAATAACGATGACGACGATGAGAACAACGATAGTAAGTTAGAGTATAGCGACAGGAAAAGCAGTGACTCTAGCACAGCAAAAAATAGGCAGTTTTCTCCCAAACCCTCGCCAGAGTATCAGTGAGGTATCTATTACAAAGTGTGCATCACAGCAGAGTATGGTCAGACTCCATTCAACAGGCATTTCGAGGTCCTCCGGCTCAATGGCTACGGTGTTGCGAGATAGTACGTCGTTCCGAAGGCCACAGCCTCAGAGGCGACGCCGGAGTTGTCCAAAACTTGGAGATTTGGCGTTGTATTGCTCAAAATGTCGATTTGGTGTGATTCATGTGGGCCGTGCCATCAGGAAAAAGTGAGGGGCTACGCATATGCCGTTGACATAAACGAATACCACCCAATTGTGACTTGGCCGTCGAATGTTAATGCCATCCAACAAGGCTTTCAGAGTGCTACAGCACATTAAGTCGACTGGCTTTTCCAGTCCAGGAGAAGTTGTTTATGATTTTATGACGTTACAATTGCGGGTGTAAATGAAAACGCACGGTGTTGTAGGTGGGAAAAGCGTCCGTACCGGACGACCTGACAAGGGGAAAGAAGTCTTCTACATCTCTCTTGTCCATGGTCAAATGATGCTTCTTGGATACCTGTATCTCCATACCCTTCGCGTGTTGATACGCAGGAGGCCGGTTGTCTATGTGGCTGGATGAAACCTGAGGATGAGGAGCATGTCTTGAGCGGGGTACTCAAGTTCCAACCTGGGGAAGCGCTCAGGCCTGAAGTTGTTGATACCTGGCTGTCCGATGGCATGCAAGAATTCTGTTCGCGCGCCACACCTGGACTCCCTAGTGGGGATTCTAAAGCGCCTGGAGGGCGGACCAGCGCTGTAGGCCCCGCTGCACCATGGGCGCCTCTATGGATATCTCCTGTTGAGATGCGCTCCGGTGTCGCATTCTGTATATGGGACAACTAATTAATGAGACTTGGTAAGAAATTGAAGCTCACCTTCAGTTTGGATACTGTACTGAGCTTCTTAGAAATAATTAAATCCTGTGTTTTCTTTGTTAAGCTCAAAATGTCAATAGTCTACGTGGAGCAGGTCAGAATTTTGGAGGGCTGTTTCTGACCTCATCCCAGAATAAGTGGGTTGGGCGGGGCCCTTCCCTGGCCACTGTGGAGCTACTCAAAAGCGTTCCTCAACTGCATCTAGAGAAGTTGGTGGTCTTACGAAGGCTGTGGGTGGCAGGCCTCGCCGGCCCGTCACGTGGGCTGACGGCCGCCACCACTGGTCTTAGCCAGCCTCCACAGCCCTCTAGCCAGTTAGTTAGTTCTTCCAACCAACAACACCACTTTTCCCATTCTGAGCGTTCTGTGCTGGTTTCGCCCACAAAGGCAGGCCCGACTTCGTAGGAAAAGTAGTATGTTTCTGCTGCGTTCTTCTATGGCAAACTATTGTTGCCAAGATACTTGCTGGGCCATCCAGGTCCTCCTGCCTCATTCAGGTGGTGCCACTTGCCCGCACATTTGCCTTGTGAACTACGTTTATCTAAGCAATCCCACCCAATATGCTACTGAGCCTTGTGCCACCACCCATTGAAGCCGTCTGAAACAGCGAATATTTCGAGACAATGCGAGGAAGGGAGAACAGTGCCTCAATGAAAGGTTTTCGAAGTTCCTCCAAAAGTCGATTTGGTCTCCTTCGACACTATGCTTGGCAGAATGGACGTCATATGACTTCCTACGCATTTAAAAACTCCGTGGTTCCGCTTGATCCCTCTGTTCCGAGATTGAAAATGGGAACGTGGACCTAAATTCATGGTTACAAAGGAAACATAAAGCCAATCGGCGCAGGCTGTACGTCAATCAACCCTGGGAAATGCCTAGCAGCAGAAGAGTAAGCGATCGGCATGACTTCACTAGTGAAGGGCGGACGTCGCATTAGGTGAGGGTTTATATCTGCATTCGCTGCAACATGGTTCGCATTCAGAGACTGCCGATACAAGTTCAAAGGATCTAGTTGTGCTATATTTATGGATCGGTATGCAAAGGCCGGCCAGTGAGCATGTTCGCCAACCTAGCTAAAGAATGACGTTGAGAAATTGCAGCATATTTGTGCGCAATTGAAAAATATGGCGCCGCAATGCGCATTGGCTGTTGGCTTTCGTTTCCCAGCAAGTCGCCGTCTTGCCGGTACGGGAGGCCTAGCAGCTATGAAACCAGAGAGAGAACAAAGTCCATACAATGTTTTCATGGACATGGTGTCGTAGCACGCGGTCCCAGCCAGCCACGAAGTATTCTCTAGATACGAGAGGGACAAAACGTGCGTAAGCCGCTTGATTAAGAGTGTGTTGACATCCTGCTAACAATATTGGGTTAGGAATAGAATAGAATGATTGGTTGTGGTAAAGCACTTGTATTACTTCAACTCGGAGGTAGATGTTCTCTGAATTGAGGACTTTGCATGTGCCAACTATGCGTATCAAAACACCTGCAGTAGCTTGGAAATCTGCCTCTGGTCTTGTGTATTTTTGTCTTTTATTATCACGGTCATCTTATTATAATGATTCATTTACTCCTCCTTCCACTCTTCCCACGTCTGTTTCTCGCCAAAAGTCAACATAATTGCATTTTCTAATGGGAATACTTAAGTCCAGTCAGTCTCAAATCCTAACGCTCAGAGGAACCTCCTCAACTTCACATTTCCAGTAAAGCTAGCCAACCGTATTTTCTCTTCGCACAAAGCCTTGATGAACACGACGTACTACGCACTAAGTCGAACAATGCCATTGCAAAGAGCTCTGATACTTGCTGAGACAAGTGACAATCTAAATGCCTCCAGTCGTGGAACAACGCGTACCATTTGCCAGTCAATAATACCAGTCAAACCGTTTTCTTTGCCAACTATGAGATGAAAACCATTGTTGTTGACCTATTTCGCCAAAATTTAGTCTGCATGATCGGAAAGTTCCGTCGCTTTGTTCTTCAGAAACTTGTAAACCAGGTCATTCTCCATCGGCCTCCACGGAAAACTGGGCATACAGTTGTCTATCAGCAATTAGCATCAAGTACTGTACAGCTCTCGCCTTATAATAGTGCGCTGTACCGTCAGATGTGCCTCACGGGTCAAGATAGACGAATCTTTCACTAGCTGTAGCGCAACTTTCGGTTGATCTTGAGGCAACTCGACACATAGGGAGTCCGCTTGATGAAATTTGTACTTTTCCAGTTCCACCAAAATCTTGGCCAGGCCTTGCCAGACCTTGTTTTTGTATCCGCTCACATTCAAAGCTTACCAACTAGATCCTCTATGAGAATAAAGCAGACTTCAAACCATAATCCTTCTCTTGTGATAGGATCGTAACAGACCGAAACTAGCCGTCCAGGCTCTAGACACTATGGTGCATGTAGTCGTAGCTAGCCTGGATACCCTTTGTGTCCACGACTTGGGACGCTTATGCATTCTATTCAGGTGAGGAATTATTAATTAAGGCTATTTTCTGTGGCATACCTCCCAGCAAGACATCTGATTTGCCTTTTTTACCTCCGAAGCCTTTTTACGAATGTTATTTCCAGGTGTGTTTTGGGTCGCCAACAAATGCCCTTTGCTTCAGCCCCCCTCATATTCGATTCTCGTCATAGCAATGGAAACGTCCTGAAACTGTAGAAGGTTAGAGATAGTGCAAAGCGAGTTGCTCATATCACTCGAGCTGCCGCCAGTCGGCGTCCGCTTTATCTGAATGCGTGTTGCTGGTCCGAATGGTAGGGTATTCAGGTTTATCTGCTTCCATACTCATCATCATTTCTCAGCGACTTCCACATTTTGTTACATAAGATTAATCGGTGCTAACAGCTTGACTGAAGATTGGCGCTTTGCACTATTGACATCTCTGCATTAGGTTAAGAAGATACGGACCTGGTGAAACTCAACATCTCACAGTGACTCCAAAGTGTTTGGGGACTCGAAGAGGTGTTCAGCACTATAAATGAAGCTCGAGACTGCCTGCTTTACCTTTTTCATGATAACTATTTGGGTAGTTTGATGGTTGTAGTTGTGAATCGAGTTGGTTTAAATTATAATGTATTCCGAGGACCATGATGCGGTACATATAGATCGAGAGATTTAAGTTCTAGTCGCTAGATCTTGTATATTCCTTTCTATGCTACTACAAACAAAAGCTATATAGCTGTGAATCCAGCTCTCCAGCTCACTAGATGCAGCTAATTGCTACTGTAACTTCCGAAATCATACAATTTAGTAATGTGAGTTCCAACGGTAGCAGAGATCGGTAATGTAGGACGTTATTCCTGGCCATCATGATGTGTGAAAGTCACTGCAAAGGAAACCTAACGACTGATCCTGGTAGTGTTAGTGAATGGCGTGGAAACCTTCGAAAGTCTGTTAGACAACACATCTTAACTCGGCTAGACTGAGCCGATGTAGGTAACTAGTGGTGTATCTCTAAGGACGCCCCAAAACCAAACTCAATAACTATTGTTGGGGCTTAGTGACGAGCCGAAATACATGAAAAACGGAATTCCAGTTACAAATATAAAGCAGTCCGAAATATTGAACAGATAAATTGTGTGACGCATCCTGCAGAGTGCTCTGGCCTGTTTTTATGTTCAAAAGCTTTAACGCACGCTCTTC